TTATATATATGCTGTATACACATATATATAATAAAAGTAGACTTTTCATTTAAGGAAGAACAAGTTGACTTTCTGATTTCAGAACTGTTGAAGAGCTTTAACTGTGATTTATTTTACTTGTTGATTGGAGTTGCTTTTTAAAACAAGATATCACTCATTGAGCCCAAACAGGCAACAGTGATTTTTGATTTCCATGGACTAAGCTGGCAATAAAATTTAATTTCATGGATTTCTAGCGCATAAGCCCACTGGAGTCATTTGTTATCAGGTATGAAGATATAAATGCGGTTGCCATTATAGATGCAGAATGGCTTAGACTTAGTGGCTTGGGGATATGGAAAGCTGAACTGTGAACGCTTCAAAATTTAAAGGACCGCTAAACATTAATTACAAGCCGTTTTATGCAGAAGAGGTTTTTATAACAATCATGAATGAATATGTAAAGGTTACAGGAGATTGTCAACACCAGTGATGAGTAGTAATTCAGAGTTGTGTGATGGGGAAGTGGGGGTCAAAATTTTCAAATAATCCAGTTTAGGAAAGCTGACATTTAAAGTCTATGCAAAATAAAAAAATAACAAAAACATCTTGTTAGTACATCTCTGTATTAAATGCACCTCTCTCCTCAAGATTTGTTACCTTAACTACACTGCAGGTACAGATAAATACCTGTTGATCTGAAATCCAGAGAGCTCCTAACCTTCGGTTAGAGCGGACAACAGAGCCTCTGCTTCACTAAAATCCCAAGCAGCATTATCAGCCCTGTCCAGTTCACCTCTAGTAGACAACAGAACACCTCCCCCTTATGTTATAGAGAGATAGATGAGGAGAGGGGATATGTTCTGTCCATCAGGTAGGGACGCTGTTAGATATCATGGGGCCCTGTACAGCCTACTGATGGGGCCCCCTGTGATCCCACCCTCGACCCCCCTGGCCCTGTCCTTGACCACACGCTTGGCCCCTCCCCTGACTCCATCTCAAAACAAAATGCAGCTTTGTCCTCAAGTGCATAATTAGTTAGAACAGTCCTCCTCACCAGATTATCCCATAAATGTGCACACCTTCTTTATAATCAAAAATGTATCTCCATAATTATTGATGCAAAAATGCTCTACTGTGCAAAATGTGTCTAATGACCATCGATAAATGGAAAAATTAAATCTTTACTCTGTGCAAACCTAAATATTATTATGATGTTCGATCTCTCCATCTAACAATACAACAATCTCATAATTCATCAAAAAGTAAACATATACAGTGATTCATGCATATATAATCATACTAGTGTAAGTAAGTGACTATAAAAAAATTATATCCCAGTGTCTAAAAACGTCCATAAATAAATCAAAAAATGTCTTTATTCAATATTCTCATTAAACCTGTATTATACAACACCACCACCGCGTGAAATCCACCACCAGACAGAATGAATAAACTCACCAGAGCTCTATTCTGGTAGCACTATAAACCAGCTAAAACGTAGTGACTCTGGGAGCAACGATCTGCAGAGACGCCAACTGACTGTTACAACTCCTTAATCGGATCCTCGTATACACATATGGAACCATAACAGGAAAGGAAGAAGAAGCTTCATAGCGTAAAACCATAAGGATGCTTTATTTCAATAAAAGATATGTCACACTCACAATGTAAAGTGTCATGGCAGACACTCGCATAAACCACATGTAATTATACCAGCAGGTCAACTCCGGTCCCAAACAACTACCGGCAGCTCACCCGTATGTGGTGACGTCACCTCTGAAAGCCCCGGGCGGTGTAAATGAGTAAATGAGACCTAAGGATACAGGGATTTTTTTCTAAGAAAATAGGTGAAGAAACTCTATTACTCCCCCATCACATCACTCACCATCAACATCATCAACACCTCCCAGACTGCTACATACAGAATGCAGTGTTCAGGAGTGCGTGACATACAGAGTGCAGGGTTCAGCAGTGTTATGCAAAAAAGTGCAGATTTCAGTGGTCCCCTATGTACAGAGTGCAGAGTTAAGAAGTGTGTTACAGATGGAGTGCAGGGTTTGAGCAGTGCGCTGCGAACAGAGTGCAGGGTTGAAGAGTGTGTTACAGATGAAGTGCAGGGTTTGAGCAGTGCGCTGCGAACAGAGTGCAGGGTTGAAGAGTGTGTTACAGATGGAGTGCAGGATTTGAGCAGTGCGCTGCGAACAGAGTGCAGGGTTGAAGAGTGTGTTACAGATGAAGTGCAGGGTTTGAGCAGTGCACTGCAAACAGAGTGCAGGGTTGAGGAGTGTGTTACAGATGGAGTGCGGGGTTTGAACAGTGCACTGCAAACAGTGGAGAGTTGAGGAGTGCGCTATGTACAAAGTGCAGAATTCAGTGGTGTGCTACGTACAGATTGCAGGATTGAGGAGTGCGCAGTGTACAGAGTGCAGGGTTCGTGAGTGCACTACGTACAAAGTGCAGAGTTGATGAGTGTGTTATGTACAGAGTGCACAGTGTACAGAGTGGAGGGTTCAGGAATGTGCTGTGTACATTGTGCACAGTGTGCAGAGCGCAGGGTTCAAGAGTGTGCTGCATATACAGTGCAGGGTTCAGAACTGTGCTACGTACAGAGTGCAGGGTTCAGGATTGTGCTACGTACAGAGTGCAGGGTTCAGGAATGCATTACATTCAGAGTGCAGAATTCAGGAGTGTACTTTGTACAGAATGCAAGGTTCAGAAGCGTGCTACATACAGAGTGCAGAGTTCAGGAGTGCGTTAGGTAAATTGTATCCAGGGAATATCTAATTGCCTCTCGGTGAATCAGGAGGGAATTTTTTCCTCTGCAAGAGCAAATTGAGTCATGCTTTGCAGGGTTTTCTTTCTCTGTTTTTTGTCTCTGGATTAGCTGTGGGTGTAGAATTATAACTTTTTTTTTTTTTGGTTGAACTGGATGGACTTTGTCTTTTTTCACCTAGACTAACTATGTAACTATGTTACATTCAGAGTGCAGGGTTCAAGAATGCAAGGTTCAGGAGTGCATTACAGAGTGCAAGGTCCAGGAGTGCGTTACATACATAGTGCAAGGTTCAGGAGTGCGTTACATACAGAGTGCAGGGTTCAGGAGTGCGTTACATACAGAGTGCAGGGGTTCAGGAGTGCGTTACATACAGAGTGCAAGGTTCAGGAGTGCGTTACATACAGAGTGCAGGGTTCAGGAGTGCGTTACATACAGAGTGCAGGGTTCAGGAGTGCGTTACATACAGAGTGCAGGGTTCAGGAGTGCGTTACATACAGAGTGCAGGGTTCAGGAATGTGCTCCATACAGAGTGCAGGGATCAGGAGTGCGCTACGTACACAGTTCAGGGTCAAGGAGTGTGTTACATTTAGAATGCATGGTTGAGGATTGCGCTATGTACAGAGTACAGTTGTGCATATTTCACAGGCCAGTTTACAATTCTTCCCCCGCAGTACTGAGCTCTTCCCTACATTTCTGCCCCCTCCAGTACAGAGCTCATCTCTCCTCCCTGCCCAGTACAGAGCGCCCCTCTCCTTTTGGAAGGACATGCGCAGGCTTCTGATGATGTTGCGGGCGTGAGGCTAAAGCTGTGTTCCCCTCTCAGTCCAGTCCAGTCTTGCCCCGCCCTGCTCGCCCCCACCAGGATTGATGTCACTTATTGAAAAAACAGAAGCCAGGCTTCTGTGTTTATAATGACTGTAGTGAGTGGCCATGCAAGGAGCCAGCGCAGAAGGTTCTGGCTAAAAACAGCCTTGTTACTAGTACATTATAAGCTGTGGGCTGGTCCCTGTCCAAGAGAAGGGCCCAGACCCCCTACAGGAGACCCGGGGCTACCCCCTTATTGACTGCCCTGCCATCAGGACTCAGAGCTCAGGCAGGGCTGACAACACCAACCGGGATGTCAGTGCAGCAGAAGCAGTGCTGTCTACACAGATAGGAAGTCAGGATCTCACTAGATTCCCAGCAGATATTTTTCTGTACTTGCTGCATTTTTTAAGACACAAAACATGGAGAAATGTTCACGAACTGCAGTGTAGCATTTGATTTTCTTTCATATTTTGTCCTGACAAAACCTGCACTAAGGAAGAATGGAAGGTACAATTACTGAATTTCTTTTTCTGGCATTGGGGACAATTCTCAAAGCGGTATCTTACTGCATCCAAGTATGTTAGTCATGCAGTATTTTAGTAGTGAAAACATGTGGTAATGTAATGAGTCATCAGGATTGCTTGCAATTGAAAATTAAGAAAAAAAAACAACGTAGGGTCCCTTCCCTCATCCATACCAATCCCTTAGGGTTTGGTTTGGATTTTGAGGGGAACCCCCACGTCAAAATAAAAAGAATAGAGTGGGGTCCCCCCAAAATTCATACCAAACCCTTATCTGAGCATGCTGCCTGGCAGGTCAGGAAAGGGGGGGAATGAAGGAGCACCCCCCCCACACCTGAACCATACCAGGCCACATTACCTCAATATGGGGGGTGCTTTGGGGCAGGGGGAGCTCGCCCTCCCCAAAGCGCCTTGAGACCATGCTGGTGGAGACAAGAGCCTCTTCCCCACAGCCCTGGCCGGTGGTTGTGGGGGTCTGAAGCAGAATCACCCACACATATGTGAACCTAGCCTTAAGGGATGTTCTTGTTCACTGTCAGTCTTCAGCTTCAGTCACTGGTCTTCAGCTTTTTTTGTATCCTCAGTGTATCCTGTATCTGATTTCTGTTTCTGACCTTATTCTGCATTCTGCCTGTACCTCTGCCCACTTGTTCCTAACCTTGGCTTCGTTCTTGACCACGCTTCTGCCTATGCTTCTGTACCTCGTTTCCCGCCTGCTGCTGACCTCGGCCACCTCTGTGAGCTTGCTTCTGCTTCCGACTTGGCTTCTTATTACTTCTGAGTGTCTGCTTTGGCTGTCCTTCATAACCGCTCCAGTCATCGCAATGTGTTCCTGCCTAGAGCTTGCTGAGAGCTTCCACAGGCCACGCTTCCAGAACCTACAGTACATGTGGAGGGCTCCTTTAGCCTTTTAGCCTTGGCTGGTCCAGTGTGCATCACATCTGCTCCTGGCCAGGGGCGGACTGACAACTCATGGGGCCCCCGGGAAATAGGGGATCATGGGGCCCCTGTGTCCTTGCCCAAACTCAAAAAAGCCTATGAAAAAGGTACCAGGGGCATCTTATGGAGCCCCCTACTGACCCCGGGCCCTCGGGCAGTGCCTGAGTTTCCAAATGGTCGGTCCGCCCCTGCTCCTGGCCTGATGTCCTGCCTGACTTCTCAAGCCTGCACCTCCTGCTGCAAATTCTGCTATCAACACCTGCCAGCACTTGTGTTCCCCCTGTCCCTCAGCACCATCTGTTCCACCTTCAGTGGGGCCTGAGGTGGAGATACAAGAGAGGCAAACCTCATCAATTCAGTCTCCTACCAGGTATGTGACAGCTCTTTTTGCTTTCTCCATGTCCTTTAAGTATTGATCTATGTGGAGGCTGAATACTGAGAAAACTGGGACAGAGGCTTAGATTACCATAACCCTGTCCCTTAAAGGATCCATTTTATTATACCTAGAGATGGCACATTAAGGAATGTTGATCTGTTGACCTACCTGGAATGGAATGATATACGGTTTTCAATTGATTATTTGGTATAAGGCTGCACAGGGGGTATTTAAAATGCTACACTATATGAGTTTCTTTTGGGTTTCACATGTAATGAGTTGAAGATATTTGGGAAGCAAAGGTGAATAAAGGAGAAGACACACAGCTGGTGATTTTGACAGTTTATTGGACCCATTTGACATCAGTGGATTGGAAATCCGGTAAGAGGTTTGGGAGGTCATCTGCAGGATAACACTCACCTTTAACTGTTCCTGAAGCGCTGGACATTCTCTTGAATTTTTAATACAGGGTAGCCATGCTACTTGATCTTTGCTGAGGATGTAATTAATCTAAGCATCATTAATTAGGAAGAGGTAACGAGTGCTAATCAGAGCTGTGATAAATGACAGCCAGCAGTGTTTTAGCATGGGAGGCAATGGGTTTGGGAAAGAAGGGATGTTAGGTGGTGGCTAGGAAAGGAGAGGGAGGTGAGGAAGGTAGGGAATGAGGAAAGAGAGAGGCTAGGGTGGAATAAAAGGAGAAATGGAGAAGAGAATAATGGGGGGGGGGTAGTATCCCAGAGAATTAAGGTTGAGGGGCCAGTCTCAGGTTCTTGTTATGCGGTTTTTGTATAGATGTAGTGTATAGAGTATAGAGTAGATGTAGTGTATCCAGTTTGCCCATGTAGTTTTTTTTCCATTGTGGAGGATGGCTGTAAGGTCCTCTGTATGTATAAGGTCATTCACCTTGTACAGCCAGAAGAATAGGAGGTTCATATTGCTTTTATGCTATTATGGAATGCAGGATCTTGCTGCATTCACTGTGAGCTTCTCACATTGTGCACTGAAAGCTGCAGCAAGTTAGATTGAGCCAGCTTCATTTCAACAAAAAAGCAGATTGTTGTAAATAACTTTTTTCCCAGTGGTCTTCAGTGGTGACAGTACAGGTTCTCCCTATCCTCTTCTTTCTTGGTGGATCCTAAACAGGGCTGGATATAGGGGGGTGCTGGGGTGGGCTTTGCAACCCCAGATTTTAGTTGTGCCCCCCAGGTCTCTGAGAGTGCATTCACTGCTTCATGAGCCAAAATGGGGGCAACTCATGTAAGGGAGCACTCTGATGCAGACAGTTGATGTAAGGGGCACTCTGATTGGGAAAATCTCTTTAGGGGTCACGGTGATGGGACTTATCAAATGTAATGGGGCACTCTGATGGGGAGACTTGACATAAAGGGGCACTCTGATGGGGAGACTTGACACAAGGGGGCACTCTGATTTGAACAGCTGATGTAAGGAAGCACTGTGATGGGGACACCTGATGTAAAGGAGTACTCTGGTGGGAACCCTGATGTAAGGGAGCACAGTGATGGGAACAGTTAATGTAAGGGAGAACTCTCATGGGGACACCTAATCTAATGGGGCACTCTCATGGAGACATCTGATATAAGGGAGCATTCTGATGAGGACACCTGATGTAACAGAGCACTCTGATGGGGACACCTGATGTAACAGAGCACTCTGATGGGGACACCTGATGTAAAGGAGCACTCGGGGACATGACCTTAAAGTAACTGTGTGATGGATATGGTAAAATGCCTATTTCTTTTACTATTGAATATATATGTTGAGTGTATATTTTCTGCCTGCTTGGCTTTGTGGTACTTTAAGAAATCCTTGCTTAGAAGGTGTCTGCTCACATGCACGACCCCCTCCCATCGTGCCAGCTTGAGACAAAGGAATGTTTTTCTTTCTATAGATAAGACCTGGAAGAAGATCACACCTATACCATGACGGAGATTGTTTTCGTGTGGAAATGACCAATCAAAGACTAATATAATGCTTACGCTGTTCTCACATGACTCTTGCATCATTTTGCATATATAAGCTCACTTTCTCATTATAATAAACTAGAAGTGTTCATAGACTGAACTTGTGTGTCAGCGTGAGTCTCTTCCAGTGTGCGCACATTCCAAAGCTAGAATGATTAATTTGGACAGGAGCAGATAATCAACGGACATTTCTGGTCCTTATCTAATTCAACTGGAGGAAAGTTCAAAACTAATCTCAAAAAGTATTATTTTACTGAAAGAGTAGTTGATGCTTGGAATAAACGTCCAGCAGACATAGTGAGCCAGTCAACAGTGAATAGCTTCAAACATGCTTGGGACAAGCATAGATTTATACTCAGACAAAAAGTGTGATGGGAACAGTTGATGTAAGGGAGAACTCTGGTGGGGACACCTGATGTAATGGGGCACTCTCATGGAGACATCTGATGTAAGGGAGCATTCTGATGGGAACAACTGATGTAAGGGGACACGTTTATGGGCACCCTGATATAAGGGGGCACTCTGATATGGTGGGGGGACTCTTATGAGTACTTTTGATGTAAGAGGGACTCTGATGAGGACTCCTGCTGTAAAGGTGGACAGTGATAGGGGGAACTGATATAAGAGTGCATAGGTTCTTTTTAATTACTCTAATTTAATGACAGACAGTTTCCCAGGTTGTGACACTGTGAGACAGACTGTCAGTGACTCACACATAGTGTTGACATTGTACCCCCTGTTTTTTTTACTGCACCCCCAGATCAGATAGGCTAGATCCTAAGGCAGCTCATACATGGGTCGATTAGTTCAAAAATCGGAACTAAGAATAATCGGCTGATTTTCGCTCTGTTAGTGTGGCAATGGCACCGGACGATTTTCGTGGTTCCTCCCCATTTCATTTATTGGGCATGCTGGCAAATTGATGAAAAACTACCGATTTTTGAAATCATTGGTGGCACCATCAGATTACAGAATGAAGTTTCCAATTTTCAATTGAAGTTGAGTGACGTTTGGTCAGTGAGCTGGAGAGTCTACGTGGGGGAGAGTTCCAAAGAGACTGGGTGAGTATTCAGATTCCCATGTCAGCCCATTGGTGCCTGCGTCTCATTATAGTTATATTGTATCACTAATAAAGACTGCTTGTATAGTGAAGGATGCTTTGTATTCATGCTCTAATGAGTGAGGCCACAAACAAATGAGAATCTCTGGTAATGTAAATATTTTAGGCAGGGATATCAGCTAATAAGCATCATTACTTGACAACTGGGGAAACTACAGGTGAATAATTTGAGCCATTTATTGTTGACAGCTGTAATTGCTCATCAGTGAGACAGAATTTATTAGTGAGAATGCCTGTCAATAGCATGTTTAATTATTGATGAGAACACTAGTAAATGAACACAATTACTTGGTAAAGCCCCGATAGCTTAATAATATTCATTCCCAAATAAAAAAGAACACAGGTCTCTGCATTGGGGCTTTAAAGAGAATTATTAGCATTTCTGTATACATTTACAAAAGTGATATTAAACCCTCGGTTTTTAAATACCTTAAGCAGCTGATTTATCAATTACCAAGTATGCGGCTTCTTTCTCTTTTACCCTCCCTGGCGGTATTCCCGAGTGTAGCTCGGGGTAAAATGTCAGTGCCAAAAGCGGTAACCCTGAGCTACACTCGGGCTTACCATGCGGCGCTGCATAGGGAGTCCCTGCAGCACTTACCTTGTCCTGCGCTCCCGCGATGTGTCCCCTGCAGCGTCCTCGGCCATCTCCTCCGGCCGATGCCGGCATCCGGCTTCTGTGTTCCGGTCCCTGTGACGTCGGGACGTACGGGCGCCGCCAGAGGCGGCGGGAAATTTGAAAATTTTAAAAAATTTCATTTTTTTCAAAACACATTTTTCATAGTAAAACATTGCTGTTTCAACCCATTTCACATACATTTTGTCCCTAGTGCTTTGTCCTGTGCCCTGTCTGCATTTTGTCTGTTCTTTCTGCCTGGAAACTGAGAAAAGTCCATGGCGTCCAAAAAGTGTCCCTTTAGGTCAAAAGCGGGTTTAGACCAGCTAGGGAACAGCGATAGTAAATCAGAACCACTTGCAGAATTGAGTGATAATGATTCGTGGGGGAAATTCGTCATCAGACACTGAAAACAATTTTGCGACTTTGCTCAGTGATGTGCGAACTTGGCGCTCTATTTCAAATTTCAGTGTTTTTGGTTTGATTATATTATTGAATTAAATGTATTATTATTATATTATTATTTTTTATGATTATTTATTAAATTATAATTTATGATTTCGTGTTTCAAATTTTATCATATCCGGGATGTTTAATAGACTCTTGTTCGGACAGATTTCAGTGAGTTTTTCCTGAAAATTACAGCCTACAATAAAAAAAACTACATATTTCCATGCAAAATATGGTACCGCTTTCAGCACCAAAAATCTGAAATAATCATACTGCCAGGGAGGTTAATCCTTGCCCGTGTTCCAGTTTAAGCTGGTGCCATGACTGCTGCCCCAGGTTTCAGGGTAGCCCCTTTATCTTGCAGCATCCTATGGAGCCACCCTTGCATGCAGGGACTTGAGTTGTGTCTCCCTACACTGTGTGCATCAATAGAAACACATAGCCCCAGAGCCTAGGTTGGCAAGGCACTCCTATGCTTCTTAAAGCTGTAGTAAACCCATACCCAAAAAGGTAACATATTGCAGCTTACCAGTCATTAGATGTGGAGGCTGTATCAGTTTTCTTTGGCCTTTTTCCTTCTGTTTTCACCTAGTTATCTAGCCAGTAACAAACCTCCGGTATTACTGAGACACACCTCTGGAGGAATGAGCACAAGAGTCACAGC